ACAGACAGACAGACAGACAGACAGACAGACAGACAGACAGACAGACAGACAGACATCCCAACTGGACTCATTGGCCATAGCAGAAGCAAGTCATATAATAATAGAAATAATAATAATAAATGGCATTTATATTGCGCTCAACCCCGATTCAAGTTGTTCTGACTAAAGGAGAATTACTCCAAATATTCATCTTATTAATTTAAAAACAGAAATGACTTCAGCTGACACTCGAATGAATCTAAAGATTTTATCTTTCTCAAAGTACCTGGTAAAGCATTCTAGATCTTGGGGCCTTGGTACTCAAATGCCCTTTCACCCATTGTTTTAAGTTTCATAGATGTTAAAATAAATTTCTTTTTATCCGCTGATGACCTTAAACTGTGCGTTGGAATGTACAGTCTTAACAGATTTGATAAATATGATGGTGAATTATCATTCAAAAATTTGTAACATAGGCTGGCCAACTTGTACACAATTCTTTTCTCAACAGGAAGCTAATGCAATGTCCGTAAAAGGTTTAGCAGAGTCTCGCTTTCTTTTCCGTAAAACTAAACGTGCAGCATTGTTTTGGACAGTTTGAAGTCTTTTAACTTTCTCCACTGATATTCCTGATAACAAGGAGTTACAATAATCGAGTTTTGATAGAATTAAGCTAGTTACTAGTAAAGCAGTATACTTAGTATTGATCAGATGACTTATTTGACTAATTTTTCTTATTTCTGAATAAATGCATCCGATCAGATGATTTACCTCAGCCGACATTGACAAACTGGAATCAAAATTGATGCCAAGATTCTTAACTTTTCTTGAAAATGCAATTTCCAGATCACCAATTGTCATGTGATTGTGGTCAACCTCTTTAACAGACTTTGCATTGCCAGCCAGAACGACTTCTGTTTTATCATCATTCAACATCAATTTGTTTTTGTTCATTCAGTTTTTTACTGAGGCAATACAATTTTCAACACCATGGACAAGTTCATCTAAGTTGGTAAACATTGTTGAACCATAAATTTGGGTATCATCAGCACAGAAATGATACTTTAAGTCATATTCCTTCTATTTCACTTAAGAAATATTCTTTTCTGCAGATGCATTGGTCATAGTCAGGTATTGACAAATGAACAATTATAATTATTAGTCAAATAATAAAAGAAGACAACATATTAGAAAGCAGACCAAAAAAACAAAAACAATCTTAGCCCTCACCTTTTGGAGCAGGGCGTGGTTCAGTGGGCTCGGCCGTGGGTACGCTGGGTAAGTCTTCGGTGCCTCCCACATCCAAAAGCTGCCGGTCGAGATCCTCCTGTTCCAGTTCCTCCAGCTCTGCCAGCAAATCATCCTGAGAAAAAAATAATTTTAAAACCCATGTCAGGAGAGAAATAACAATATGTGTGCGTGCCTGGCACTCTGTAAGATGCATTTGATCTAACTGAGATACAAAGCAATAAAAGTCAAAATTTGACATATCACAAACATTGGTTTCATTCAACAATGATTTCATAACCATTTATCTACTGACATTTACAAGGCTTTGCGTTTAATTTACATAACAAAATTTATTTTGAAGATATATTTTGTCACAAGTCATCTTACACAATCAGAATCTACAGCGGCATTGGGTTTCAACAACTCATTCATAAAAACAAACCCCATCATACTGCATACCAAAATTTAGGTCAGCTTTTTATCTATCTCAATCTAGGAAGTGCACAAGAGTATAACAAAAAAACCAAAGGATAGCAGGATTTGTGCATTTGTATCCTATTCCTCTTCATGAGCTATGTAAAACCGCAAAACCACTTTATGAAATTTCTAGAGTTGTCATTTACAACGATTTCTATGAATAATTTTTTTTTTAATCAACCCCTTCACATCACCTATCAAAATTTAAGTCAGCTAGTGTGCTTTCTTATGCTGTGCTATGTGCACAATTATATGGGGTGCCCATTGCGGATAAGATCAGGTCGGAACGGGGGCGATCGCCCGCCTCGTCGCTTGAAAACAAATGCGTTTGTTTTTTAGGCAACGAGTCCTGCGCGATCGGTATGTGCCATGATAGCCGCTTTGCGCCCTCAATCTAGCTAGAAAACCGCCCGACCCGATCCCCCAACGGGCACCCCATATTACAATTACACAGTAAATGAAGGGAAAGCATACATGTACCCTCCCACACTTCGTGAGCAAAGCGAAGTCATTTACCAAATTTGCAGTTCTACTTAGCTGTGAATTTTTTTAAAAAAGTATCAATGACCCTTTGAAACTGTTCAAATATCTTAGACTTGTTCTTAAAAGTTGCCCTTTCAATAGTAACAGAGTTGTCAAGGGTTTTGGAGACGATTGATATTCATTTGGAAAAGCACTTGACCCAGATCTAAGGGTCTCACCCTACCTGACAAAACTGAGATCTCAAAAGAAATAATAAAGATATCTTAATTATTTAAAGAGCAAGGTTTTGTTCAGAAATAATTTTTGTACCAGAAAACGTACTAAATTGCACTTCCTCATAATGTGTCATATGGTTCCTTTTACCAGGCATACAAACACAAACGGTGATCTTAGAAATTAACATAAAACTAAAACAAGTGTTTTAGAAATTTGTGTGTGTGTGTGTGTGTGTGTGTGTGTGTGTGTGTGGGAAAGGGGGGGAGGGTTTGATTAAAAAAGTATGTTCGAGAAAGAGGACCTGGTAACCACCCATACAATAAAAAAACAACAACATGTGTCTTCAAACTCTACATAAAATGACCAACTGGTTCTGGACAAGAAATGGTAAGCATGTTTGTAAGTATAATAATATTATTACAGAGAATATCAGAGGACTGTGTCATTTATCATACCTCATCCATGTCCTGACCAAAACCAACAGGATTAGAAATAGCCTCTGAGATTTCATTTGCCACCTCTTGTTGCTCTGCAACATCATCCATGAGGTCATGAACCTGGTCGACGTCCCTGAAGAAATAAAGACAAAAAAGGTCTTAAAACTACTCTGAAATCTCACATTTATCCCAACCAGTTTTACATTCTACCATGCAGAATTGTAAAGGTAAATACAGACATTTGTAAAGCAATTACATAAAAACCATGTATCCAATCTTAAATGTTCCATTTATCATTGCGGATACTCATTCAAAGAGTCATTACATTACAATATGCAACAACTCAGAGGACCTCACCTATAACTTGCAGTGAGAAGTAATGACAATCAACCCACAGTTTGCAGCCAAAATAAATTATTTGGTGACACTGAACTCTTTGGTGCACATGAAATCAATTAAAAACATTTCTTTAAAGTTAACTTTCATCAGTCACATTGATAATAATCATTTCATAAAAGGATAGCAACTGAACTGGAAAAAAATTAGTGAGTTGATGCACACGAAAAAGACTAAATTTAACCTTAACATGGCATTGAATAAAGAAAATTTAATAACTTAAATTCACCTCACCTATTTCTTAGAGATGAATTTTAAAATGTTGTATTACACCGAGAAATAATGTAAGAACAATAAGTACGCTTTAAATTTCCTTAAATTTAAAAAAAAAACTGATTTTGAATGGAACTTTCTATAAAGTTCTGTGACTCAAAATTTTTAAAATACCAATAGACAGTACAACTTAAGAACTAATACTTACAGATTATTGTGAGCACCCTTAAGGGCACGGGCCGCAACTCCCATAACTTTGAGTACTTCTGTATTTGTACTTGCATTTTCCAGGGCTTCCCTTTGGAATTCAATAGTGGACAGGGTACCATCAATCTGCTGAAGCTGCTTGTCATATCTCTTCTTTCTCTTCAGAGCCTGGATGGCCACTAGAAAGAAAATCATAATGATCAAAAACAATGCCAGGTAAGAGCTAAAATAATAGGATAAAAATAAAAAGCACTACGAGGCAACTGCAAAGCGCTAATTTTTTTTAAATTTTAAGCAAAATCTTTCGATATATTTACAAAAAAGATGCCATTGAGCTAGCATGTGCGTTTGTCGTGGCCACGATATTTTGCATTTTTTGGTCCATGAATCGCGGCCGCGATTTTTGCATAATTTTTCAAAAAAGATAAAACAACAAAGCTACTTCATAACATATTAGACATGTATTTTGATAAGTTTTAAGAAGTCAATGTGTATCTATTTTCATGCGGAGAATATAAGTACATTACATTACATACTGTTAATTACTGTTTATATAGCTGTCTGTTTTGTACTTTTCCCTCTTTGTTGTGTTTTAAATTGTTGGTGTGTTAATTTTTTTTTTTAAATTGTTCTAATGATTTGTTTTTCTTTTTTTGGGGGGGCGTTTATACAGCCTAATGTCATTTCGTTTAATGCTGTTCCTACCCTTTTAAAAACATAAATGTGTTATGTTAGAGCATGTCTCCACCAAAACCGAATACTGACACGCCCCAATTGTGTGTGGTTCCATAATATAATTTACACGTGGTATCCTGCAAGCCTACTTTTTCTTGAATAACACACGTTTAGGGTTAAAACAGCCAATCTTCAGATAGGTGGACACACGCCCTAATTAGTTAATTTTAGTGGTTATTTATTCGTGCTGTTCTAATTTTGATTTCATTCTATTGTGAAACCTTTATTTTTCACATTTTTACCCTCTGGGTGACTATTAATGATATTCTGGATGCTTAAAACAGAGCACAAGAAATTCTGGTGCCATAGATTGTTACCTCTATCAACATATTGCTATATTACGTCGTCACAGAGAGTTGAAAGCTTGAAAATTAAAGGCAACTTTTTGGGCAACTTTTGCCACTTTGGACAAAAAAATGGCAACAAACGCACCTATGCTAGATTGAAAAATGTGGGAGGCTTCGTGGGAAAATTTAATGTAATAAGAGAAGAGACCATGTAGCCTCAAGCTTTATAATTTTATTTTCACTCCCATCTCATGTTCAGGTATTAAATAACACTTTTTTTGGTCCTTTTTTCCCTCATTTTAAATGAGACTAAAAGTAAAGAGAAAATTATTTTCAATACAGAACCTGAATTTTGTGCAAGGCTAAAAAGATCAAATCTGTCATTAACTGAGAATACTACTAGATTAGACAAGAAGACGAGTACACATACATGATTTTCTAATTGGGAAATGAAAGCAGCGCTGCCTTTTGACTTGTCACACAATTACATAGTCCTAGTAGATAATTCTAGTTTTAATTCTTGTTTTACGTAAAATCTCCCGAAGACAGTTATATTACAACCTCCTTACACTCACATATCTCACTTAGAAGACGAGTACGAATAAATAAAACATTTTGTTCAGACCCGAGTCAAAATAGATCTAGATCTAGATAAAACCCATGTCCGAATAGATAAATAATCTAATCCGACTCGAGTCCGAATAGAGCTGGCCACATTATATATAATCAAAGGAAAATAAAGAGCACCAGCAAAGAGCAAGAGGTTGGAGTTGGGTGTGATCACTGTGCCAACTGGTAGGAAACAGTCTTTTATCATTTTTTATTTATGGCATCGCAGTCAGTCAGATTAGACCTGTGCACGCCCTTTGAAATATTATTTAAACAGTGGAGTGGGCCAGTGGGTGTTCTACGTACAATGTTTGAAACGATTCAGGGTGAATTAAGTCTCTAAAAGACGTGTGGGCTGATTTTTCCCCAGAGAACTTACTTCAAAACCTGAGATCTTTCCTCATTTCACTAGATCTAGATTTAAATCTAGAAGCCTAGATCTATACATACACTAACTTTACTGTACAGCCTAGACACCTATTCGACCTGATAGTGGATCTCTCTTAAACATAAAAAATAACTAAGTGACTATTTCTCCGAACGCTCGGGAAAATAAACTTGACCTCTATTTCTCCAAACGGTTTCCGTTCTCGAGATTTTTTGGTTATTTGAGAGATCTCGGCATCATCTTTCATTCTGCAAGGACTGGGAGGAAGCATTTTTTGCACTGAATTAAATTTCTAGAGCTAGAGATCTTTAAATGTCTGAATATTCAGATACAAGTTCAATTGTGGTTATGGCAGCGTTCCCTGACTATACTTCTTTTGAAAATCTTCAAAAGGTACTGCGAGAAAACAAAACTGTTCGACATTGGCAGTAACCTATTTTGCATTTAGTCACCCCAAAAGCAACTCTAAAATCTTTCATGAAACAAAAAAAAATCCCCCCCCCCCCAACCGCGTACACACACATTCTCACATACACGCCACTCCATTCGCAAATAACCAACAAATCTCGAGAATGTAAACCGTTCAGAGAAATACAGTTCAAGTTTATTTTCCCTAGCATTCCATTCAGAGAAATTATAGAATCTAAAGCCGGCCTAAAAATAACGAAGTGACTATTTTTCAGAACGGGAAAATAAACTTGAACTCTATTTCTCCTAACGGTTTCCGTTCTCAAAATTTTTCAGCTATTCTCGAGATTTAGGTGTCATCTTTCATTCTGCCATTCTGCGAGGACTTGGAAGAAACATTTTTTGCATAGAATTCAATTTCTAGAGCTAGAGATTTTTAGACGTCTGAATGTTCAGATACTTCAATTGTGGTTGGGGCAACAGTCCCGGACTATACTTCATTTGAAAATGCCTTCAAAAGGTGCTGCGAGAAAACAAGACTGCTCGACTTTGGCAGTAACCTACTTTGCATTAAGTCACCCCTAAAACAAAAATTGTATCACAAAAAATCCCTCTATACATATTATACCCCCCCCCCTCCTCCATTCGCTTCACACCTTACACACACACACACGTGCGCGTGCACACACACACACACTCTCTCTCTCTTACACACACTACACACACACACGCACACACAAAGACACACACTCACGCGAGCGCAGGCCACTCCGTTACATGTATTACACGGAAGCAAGTGGCTATTCTCCGGTCAATAGATCAGAAGCTATTCTCCGGCCGCCGGTCTATTACTAATAATTTGTCGGCGCAGATTTGCAAAAATACCTCTCTCATCTGTTTGTCTTGGAAAAAAATTCCCACAACTTCACCACTTCGAGCCACTTCCATTGATACAGACGATAGGTTTTCAGACAGAAACTGTCTCAATTCCTCCAATTTAGAATTATGTTGGGTGCAAGAAGAAACGTGTTCATCATTAGTGACGCGAGTTCATAACAAAGAGTGAGCATAAGAAGGAGTCACATTTTCACTGTTTACAAAAATATGGAAATACGACAAGAAAGCACTGAAGTCACAAAATATCACTTAAATTTATCGAAAATTACAACAACAAGAAATAAACTATAGATACTATATGACTACACAGGATTTTAGACACAAAATCAATTTTGTTCGTTTAAATTTTAAATAAAAACAATTTAATCATTATTTTAAAATAAGCAAATGGACGACGGAAATAAATGATTAAAGTTATGTTAGACAATTATCATAGATAAAATATAATGAAAGACTTACTAGTTAGATCTAGATCTAGATCTAGATCTAGGCCTAGTTATGATGCCGGAGAATAACTTCCGACCTATTCACCGGTGTGACGCCGGAGAGTAGCCACTTGCGTTTGCTACACGGAAACCGTTCGGAGAAATAAGAGTTCTTGATCAAGTTTATTTTTCCGAAAGTTCGGAGAAATAGAGATGGCCTAAAAATAATCATAATCTGTTCTTCTCTCTTCATAACATTTTCTTTTGTCTGAGTCAGCAGCGATGTTGTACCACTAAATAGATCTAGATTCTAGATCTAGATCTTGTCTTAGACTAGATCTAGATCTAGATAGATCTAGAGGTTGTAAGATTGAAGAATACCGGACCAGCGGGCTGACTTTGCCTATGTCTCAACCTTACGAATTCATAATTTTCCCGTTTTAAATATCTCTCAATGGAGAATCTCGGACCGGTAGATCTATTCAGGAGGGAGAGACCCCCCTGAACCCCCCTCCTCCATCCCAACCACCCGCCCCACCTACCCCACTTTCTCGCGCAATAATGTACGAGTGGTCCGGCATTCTTCAATCTTCCCGATCTAGAATTTAGAGATCTAGATCTAGATATCTAGACTAGATCTAGATCTAGATATTAGGAACAATTACAATATAGATTTAGAGAATCTAGCCTAGATTTAACAGGTTAACAACAGGTTTGTTTTGAATCGATGAGCGAATGAAGAACAAGATCTTTTACTTTAGCTCTCTATCTTATCTGATCACAATCTCCCTGACCTCGCCTTACTTGATTCAGAAAAACTTAAAGTACAACCAAGTGGTCTTACCTCTTTTGTTCCTTGTACCATTTTTCTTCGCTGTAGCAATTTCTGCGTCGATCTTCTTTTCCAAAAAGTCCGACTTCTTCATCAACATCTCCTCTACCTCACGAAGCCTCTGTATTCCTTCTTGAGGCGTTGGCGTTTTCTCCTTCTTTCCATCACCAAAAAGTTTCTTTAGCAAACTCATGATTGATAACTAAAATACCTCCAGGTGGTTCGTTTTGAGTATCAACGAAAACTGACGAATTGATTGTGATAAATCGCAAGCTACAAATGTGTCAATGTGTGTGTATTTCGGAATATTTCTAATTATAGATTGTGTACTAGCCTATCACAACTTGATGACTCTGACTCAGATTGCTAGCACTGGGGAAAATAAAGCAGGAAGTAAACGCAATAACATTAGGAAAATGTAACGGGCTTACGAATTTTCTGCCTTGCCATTGGATCATAAGTTTGACACGGGCAGTAACTCATAGAAAGTTAAAATTATAATCTAACGGTTTTTCCCCTTGGTCTTGGTCTTCGATACGTGAAGAATGAACAAAAACACAGAATATAGCGAATGCACTATTACATGTACATCCCTCTGCAGAAAAACCCACCGAGATAGGTCTTCCATAACCGATAGATCTAGATCTTGGCCCTATTCGAAAAAAAAATCTCCCCACTCGATAATCAAACTCAGGTCTCTGATCCGACTACACTTATAATTCTTATCGTTCAAACCGGTTCTTGTATAATTGGAGGAATTAAGTCTAATAATAACAATAATAACAATAGGCCAAATAACAATAATAGCATAGGCTTTCTTGTAAAATAAAAACAATTGTTATTATGATTATGAATATTACTATTATTCTTATTATTATTATTATTATTATTATTATTATTATTATTATTATTATTATTACGAAATGGCTAGCCGTCCTTTCAAAGGTCCCGGGTTCGAATCCAGGTAGCGACGGAAACATTTTCTTCTCTAAAACTAACATTGTTTCCTTTCACGTCCTTTCCTGCTCTCTAGCAATGTTCTCAGGGTTGGTGATTTTTGTGATTTTTTAAATAAAAATTTAAAAAATCGATTTTTTAAATTTAAATCAGATTTTTTTATATTTAAATCGGATTTTTTAAATTAAAATTTTTGTTTTAAATGCCGATTCAGTTTGGGATTTTTGGTGGCTAAAAGTAAGTTCTTTTAGTGCAAAATGCATTATCTTTATTTTAACTAATGATTAATTTAAGCATCTGCAATTTTAGAAAGCCTTAATCTGCTATATCAGTGAATTATGGCTGCAGACAAAAAATGAAGAAAATGTCAGTCTAAAAGGAAGGGGGGGGGGGGGGTAATTATGCATAGATAAACTTGCATTTTATCACAGTGTGTGTGTGTGTGTGCGCGCTTGTGTTTGTATAAAAAGAAAAAGAAAATGCTAATTTCAATTATGAAAAAAGAGTAAATTGAATACAGTAATTATTTTACTACTTACAGTGACAGGGGTGAAAGCAGACTTTTAAGCATGATTTTTTAGTCTACTAAACCTTATATCTGTTTTATAAAACCAAGGAAAGGAATTCTGAATGTTTAAAGATGTAAAAACAGAATACATTTTTTAAAGTGATTTAAATCACTGAGTTTTATTTTTTAAATCAAGTTGATTTAAATATATTAAAAAATCAACTGATTTAAATCAACCTGATTTAAATCAAACCAACCCTGGTTTTTAATTATGAAAAAAACGTAAATTGAGAACTGTATTATTTTACAGTGACAGGGGGGGGAAGCAGACTTTTAAGCATGATTATATTAGTCTACTAAACCTTATATATATGTTTAATAAAACCAAGGAAAGGAATTCTGAATGTTTAAATATATGTAAAAGCTGAATACATTTTTTGAAAAGTGATTTAAATCACTGATTTTTATTTTAAAAATCAAGTTGATTAAAATATTTAAAAAATCAACTGATTTAAATCAAACCAGCTCTGATTTCAATTATGAAAAAAAGTAAATTGAATACTGTATTATTTTACAGTGAAAGGGGGGAAAGCAGACTTTTAAGCATGATTATATTAGTCTACTAAACCTTATATCCGTTTTATGAAACCAAGGAAAAGGAATTCTGAATGTTGAAATGTGTAAAAACTGAATAAAAATAATTTTTTTAAAAAGTGATTTAAATCACTGATTCTTATTTAAAAAATCAAGTTGATTTAAATAAAAAAAATCAACTGATTTAAATCAACCTGATTTAAATCAACCCAACCCTGAATGTTCTGCGTCTGCTTTCGTCTCCTCTTTCTCCCCCCACCCCCTCACCTCGATCCTTTGCCCCCTCCTCTGGGCTCACTCTTTCTGCAGCCTTTCTACTGCTTCTCCTTGGCTCCTTCTTCCTGTTGTCTTTTAGCCACACTCCTGATCTTCTGGTAGGAAAGATCTACACATAGACTTCTCGAACAAGGGAGAAAAACTCGGAGGGCAAGTGTGCAAGTTGCTCACGTTAAAGATCCCTTGGTGGTCTGAAATCGTCGATAAGAGTAGGCTTCGGCTGCCACCCGGGCAAAATTCGAATTTCCTGAAAACTGAAAAGTTTAATGTGTCCCACGCGCTCAAATGACCGCATGCAGTTGCTGAGCGCTGTAAAACACTTACCAACAACAACAACAAAAAAGCCACCATTATCAAGTACGGCTAGCCTGCCAGTCTAGCTGTACGTACCATATATTAATTTTTTGCTGTTTGTCAGTCTAGACAGCATTATTAATTACGACTAGCCTGCCAGTCTAGCCGTTAGCCTGGCAGTCTAGAGGGCTAGCCTCTTTATTATTATTATTATTATTATTATTATTATTATTATTATTATTATTATTATTATTATTATTATCATTATTATTATTATTATTATTTATTATTATTATTATTATTATTATTATTTATTATTATTATTATTACCATCATCATTACAATGGAATCCTGTTATAACGAGAGGGAAGGGACCGGTGCGAAATGTCCGTTATAGCAGGATTCTCGTTACAAGGGATCCAGTAATGAATTCAAAGAAAATAGTAAAATAGGCCTAATAATCTATGAGTTTGGCGTTCTGTTTATTTCTTTTTGTATTTCCCCTGATGACGATTTGTTCAACATGATCTCTAGGTCTTACTTGATAAAAAATCGAATCAGGTTTCTTTCTTTAGCACTAGCAATGTTGACAAATCGGCCTTGGCGATCCGAAAGAAGGGGCTCTAGCTCAAGGCTTACTCGCCCGCTGTGTTGTCCCTCAACCCACCATACTCTGTGGTGCGTTGCGTCTGCTTGCGTACGTCACACATTCACTCCATCCATCTATCACAACATTGCGACCTCTCTATCCCGCACCAGAGAAGTGAGAGGCATGGTATGCCTAGATAATCTAGACTGGGCTGGCCTATCACGCGATGCGTTCTGCTACACCATCCCCACTCATTCGCTCCGGCCTTCATTGTTGGTTCGCGTGGGCTCTCCCATTCTTTGTTTCGCTGGATCACCAACAACTTTCTCAACTGGCAAGGTTTTATAATATGTTTAATTGGTCTGTGCATTGTGCACAGCAGCAGCAATATTCCGTTATAACCGACTCGCGTGACGGTCTGATTGCGCAATAGCAGTATTTTATTTACAAAGATAAAGGAGGAGAAAAAACGGGGTTTTAGAATAGTGTCTTTATAACAGACTTCTCGTTGTTTCAGGACTCGTTATAAGTGGGCTCCACTGTATCATAGTCTGATAACATGTCGTGCTCCCGTAAAACAAGTATCGTTGGTACTCTGATAGAACCTCGGTACCGTAACTCAAATATTTACAAAAGTCGTACTTTTCTGTTATTTTTGTTGTTTTTTTATCACCCAAAGATATCTGTTTATTGCAACACAATGTCATAACATTAAATCCAGAATCAAACTGCAAATACATGTACTGGAAAACCCACCCTATCTAACACAATGACATAATTATAAGTGATCCGTTGAACCTCGCTATCCAACACAAGGACAAACGTGATCCGTTGAACCACGCTATTCAATACAACGACATAAGTGATCCGTTGAACCACACTATTCAATACAACGACATAAGTGATCCGTTGAACCACGTTATTCAATACAACGACATAAGTGATCCGTTGAATCTCGCTATCCAATATAACTTACTACTACAACTACTCACTTGGCTATAGAATAGGCATCATTGCTGGCGACACAATGCCATAGCTGCTCTTTCCTCCTCTCCAGGATCCACGAAAGGATCTGCTTGCTAAACATACCAGTTATCAGCTGGTTGGACATACTTCTGGGTTTTCCACACAGATTGCTTTCTCTTCCCGACCCTCTTGAGACACCAGCTTCCCTCAGTCTTTCCATTGTGTGTGATGTGGTGCCTTCATCTTCTCTGTGGTCCTTGGGCCATGCTGTAAATACTGCCATGACTGTTGGTGGATATAATTGCATGGCCCCGCCAATCTCAGCCTGACCAGCTAGCTTATCAGCACGTACATTGCCTCGAACTCCTGCATGACCAGGGTTAAAGATCCATACAATCCTTGTGAGTCTGCAGCTTCGTATTGCCTCACCCCAGTCTGCATGCATCAGGTGTTTCTTCACTATTCGAGGGTACTCATTGAGTCAGTGGCAAGGATGGCAGACTGATACTCCGTCTCCTTAATCCAGTTAAGGTCCTCTGTGATGGCTTACATCTCCATGCACATGCTGAACGTGGTTATGCTAGTGGCGCCTGACAGCTCTCTCAGTATGACCCCGTTTACATGGGCCTTTAGCCCATCCAGATTTGACATCACGCTGTACTGATCCACCTGTGAAGATGACTACGTCGCCCTGTTCACTGCTCTCCTCTATCAGAGTCGTAATCTCGGCATTGGCTGCCCCCTCTAGCTACTCATGACATTCTCGGCCTATGGTTGCTACAGCTCGAGTATACTGCCCAAGTGTGTCAGTGACGCTGACCCATACGCTGCTCCTTCAAATGTCCTGCACTTCACAGAATTTAGCCAAAGTCGTCGCTGCCTCATTCATATATTCAGCACACCCCCCCCTAAGCAAACGCGTGCGTACAGTTCTTCTCACTTTGTCATTCAGTGGGAGCTGATCATCGGCGTTGACTCTCAAATACGCATTCACCTGAGTAATCTTGGGACGTTCTGCTATGGCTGAGAGGTCCAGGAGATAGCGCATAGCCTCGCAGGATGTGTATCGACGGCACCCGAGAGCGGTCCGCATACCTTTGATCTGAAAATTTTCAAGGTGTTTCAGCTGCCAGCTTGAGGAGACCAAGGCCATAGTCTATCACAGACAGCACAAGAGTCTGGCATAGTATAGCTAAAATTATATGTGG